TTCTGCCTGCTGCTGCTGCGTATACGTAATGTTTGGTGAGTGTGTGTGTGTGTGTGACGAGTGAGAGCTGTCATAAACAGGCTGAGAAAAGGAAAAAGGAAAAGGTATGCTGTCTCCGCCTTTTTTTATTATTTTTTTATTTTTGTGTAAAGAGCACACTCTGCTCTGCACATCTTTATGTAATTATAATGCCCAGGCAAAATGCTGATGATCATGAAAGTGCTCTTCATGATGATTACTAAGTTATTTGCCCAAGTTTATGACTGTGCAAAATGCACAAGATTTGATATGTACGTGCACAAACCATGTGCACAAATTAATAATCTTCACTCAGGCAAATTAAATTTAAAATGAAATTGCCTCTGGGCGTACCGAAACAAATTTGCTTAGCTTAAGCTGAAAGTCCCTGAAGCGGCTGCAAATGAACACAATTTTGGCAAATGAAACTATTCTTAAATTTACTCGTTTAGGGATTGAATAAATTCCACGTAAACGTATCATTCGGAGCCAAGACTGAAGGCTTAGATACACTTTGAAAACTATATTTGTATTTGCTAATGATTGGTAGTTCTTCACTGCTGCTGCAATATAAACCCTACAGAAAGTTTTGGCTGCCTGTGCGTTTCTTTCTCCCCGTCGCATACACCTCAGTGAAATCAGAATACCCACCTGCAGGTGTATAAATAGAGTCAGAAACTGGCAGGCAATGAAATGGGATAATCAATATACGAGGTTAAACTGCACGTTGACATGTGACGACAACGTGCCAGCGGCTAATGAATGCCAAAAACTACCCGCACTTTCACTCCCTTCTTTCCCTCCCATTCACCATCCTATCCTATCTCTCATGGAACGATATAGCTGGAGCTGGAGCTGGATCTGTGTGCCATGCAAAGTCATGCAAACGAATAAAAACGCTTTTATTGTAATCCGTAATGTCAAAATGCTGCAGCGGATGTTTAGTTTAATGCCATGTGGATGTGCGGACACAGGGAATACTCTTTTGCCTCTCTATTAGCCTATAATACTATCATGTGTGCCTGTGTGTGCTTGTGGGAATCCCACCTGAGCGACTTTATCGCATGCCACGCAGTTGTTTTGAATATGACTCAACTCTGGCTGTATACTTTTTGCCCCTTGGAAGGACCTCAACTATGTGGCAAATGACTTTGCCACACACCGAGTAAAAAAGGTCTTAGCTCTATTGATTATCCATTGATAAATGGTTGACATTCTTGCTCCCTTTTTGCTGGTTGAGCGTGACTTTGCCACTCTCCAGGTTAAATAGTTCAAGAATGTCTGCCACATTAAAAAACAATTTCCGCTAAATCACTTTCCGAGAGGAAGCTGTGGGAAGGAAGTAAGACGTGGCAGGCATGACTCGAAGGGAAATTCCTGTCGACACACATTTCAGCACAAAAGAAAGTATGACAGTGAAAGTAAGCAACACGCCTTATGGAACAAATCAAGTGCCGGAGGGTTCATATTCTTATGCTCTGTGAATGCTTTATGTCAGGCCAAAGGAGGCGAAAGGCAGAGCCTATTGATTTTCAGCGAAACTTGAGACTTAAAGTTTACCGAATTTATGTGGCAGATTAAATTACTGAAATTATTGAGATATTCTTTTTCGAAAACGAACTTCTAGGATACCAAGAGTAAGGTAAAATTATAATAAAAAAGTGTTTGGGAATTACATATTATTATAAAAATAAGTTTAGTTTTTTAACAATTTTATATTGTGTGTTATTATTATCAAAAAAAACTGTTTTAGTCTTACTATAATTTTTAGTACAGTTTTATAATCAAAAGATTAATTGTCTATCCCCATAAAATTACCAGCAGGTTATTCAACTGTCTGCCAGAGCCGAAAACTAAAGCTTATCCCAAAGATTATACGCGCCCTGCGGCATGAGCACAGCAGCATAAAAATCTCAAAGAAATATTAATAAAAGATGAGGGACATTAGTGTCTTGGTTTTGTTGCTTTGCAGCTTCTCTGCTTCTATCCTCCCATTACTGTATTTTTTTTTTGCGTTCGTATTTTTGTATTTTTTGTGAATGTCCAACCCAAAACCGTAAAAGTAAAGAACAAGAAAGCAGAAAACATTTTTACTACTTCCTTTTGCTGTTGGCCAGCATCAGCGTCTAACCTCGAGCATTCTGTTGACCTTTTTTGAAGCTGCTCTGCTCTGCTTTGGATTTTAGCCATTGGCTGGCGATGCTTTAAAGGGTCGACGAATGCAAAAAGAAAATGTCATAAATTTGTAACACTTTTGCTGCGGGGGGACATTGAGCCAACCCCAGACGAGATGACGAGATGCTGAGACAGACGCTGAGATGCTCGAGCTGTCTTTGTCCCTGGCTTGTGGCACAAAGGGATGTGGCTAAACAACAAGAGGCAAAACTTGGCCTCTGGCAAACAATTTGTCACACATACATGGCACATAAATTATATATACACACACAAGTCAGGAGATGGTAGGACTTGGTCGGTTTTTGGGTGCCAGTTTTTGGTCTCAGCATCGGTTTCGGTTTCGGTTTAGCTTTCGCTTTCTTTGACTGTTTTTTGGCTTAGTGTGTGTGTTTTTTTGTTGAGCGAAAGCTTAGTTTTATTAATAAATTGTTTAGAGCACAAACTTACTGACTTGTGTCTCATAAAATATGAGTGCTAAAATATTGGGTCATGGCAGCATCAAAGGCCAGACTCACGAGTACAGCCCTTTCCGATCTCCTTCTGGCCAAATTAGTCATGCGTACGTATATATGAGCCAGTAATTTATGTCTGCGTTGATGTATGTGCCTCAAAGGCAGCGCCAGAACATAAACACATTTAACCTCAGTTGGCATTAGTAAGTTGCCCCATATGCTTCCATCCCTACCAAAATGTCCATAACCTTGTGCCACTCATTCCCTTTGGTCTGCAGTGCGTATGCGTAATTTGATTTTTCGGAAGGAGCTCGCCCGCTGCTTCCTTCCTCTCTCTCTCTCTCTCTCTCTCTCTTTGGGGCTATGATTTTTATGCCTTTACACATTTGTCGCTGCTGGGCAAAGTTCTGGGACTCTTTTGGGTCGCCTTTTTGATTACATCTCAATCAATTGGTGGCCGTTTTATGTGTGCACATTTCGACATCTTTGGGCCTTTCAAATGTTCACTTTTACGACGCCTGCGGTGATTCTCTCAGCCTCTCATGAAAATTTGTCAGCATTTCAATTTTTCCCTCACCCCATTACTCTTTTCCGCCCTTTATATCTTTGTTTTGTTGAAAATATGAGCGTGGGGCTTACTCAAAAGTTTGTTTATATCGAATTACAATCTTATTGTATTGTTCGAAGTTGACTAAAATATTTAAAATTGAATTTGCACTCCAAGTTCAGCAAAAACTGCCTCCTGAAAGTGGAACTTAAATCTCTTAAGACCGAAATAATGCATCTTTGTTGGCTTTAAAGATTTGTCTCAACTTTTGCTTCTCTCTTTAATGTGAACAACTTTTGTGCGAGTTCTTTAAAAATTCCGTTTGAATGCCACCGTCATTTGGTTGCCAAAAAAAATAAAAAAACAAGAATAAACAAAACGGAGGCCCTGGGGCAAAGCGTCAGTCAGAATACAATTCAATTTTGTTTAGCAAAAAATATTCTTACTCTGCTTGAACCTCGGCCTCGTCCCCCTGGCTTTGGTGCTGGCTATTTGCTTTTGCCTGTTGGCTGTTGGTGGCGGCAGGGAAAAAGCTCACTGAT